GGGACCTTATTTAGACAGCCTTAGCATTGAAGTGGCCTCAGGCTTCTCTGCTGTCCTTTCCGTACCTCATTTCTTACGACGTTAGCCACACTCATTACGATCTAGCTATCATGACTTTCTTTCTGTTCCTTAATAAGCCTTTTCTCACATCAAGTTCTTTCTCCCTAGTTCATTCTGTGGTTTACTCATTAAGCCCAAAATGAAGATAACCAGCCTATCAGGTGTAGAGTTCAAAACACTGGTAATCAGGATGCTCAAAGAACTCACTGAGTATGGCAACAACATAGAGAAATGAAGGTTACACTAAGTGAAATCAAGAAAAATTTACAGGGAACCAACTGTAGAGGGGAGGAAGCCGGGATTCAAATAAGCAATTTGGAACATAAGGAAGAAATAAACATTCAACCAGAACAGCAAGAAGAAAAAAGAATTAAAAAAGAAAAGAAAATGGGGAGCTGCTGTATAAGTATAAGGAGCCTCTGGGACATCTCTAAATGTACCAACATCTGAATCATAGGGGTGATAGAAGGAGCAGAGGAAGAGCAAGAAATTGAAAACTTATTTGAAAAAATAATGAAAGAAAACTTTCCTAATTTGGCGAAGGAAATAGACATGTAAGTCCAGAAAGCACAGAGAGTCCCAAACAAGTTGGACCCAAAGAGGATCACACCAAAACACATCATAATTAAAATGCCAAAGGTTAAAGATAAAGAGAAAATCTTAAAAGCAGCAAGAGAAAAGCAGAGAGTTACCTACAAAGGAGTTCCCATAAGACTAGCATCAGCAATTTCTCAAAAGAAACTTTGCAGGCAAGAAGGGACTGACAAGAAGTATTCAAAGTATGAAAAGCAAGGACCTATGATCCAGATTACTGTATCCAGCAAAGCTATTATTTGGAATGGAAGGGCAGATAAAGTGCTTCCCAGACAAGGTAAAACTAAGAGTTCATCATCACCAAACCATTATTACATGAAATGTTAAAAGGGAGTTATTGAAGAAAAAGAGGAAGATCAAATTTATGAACATTAAAATGGCAACAAATTCACAACTATCAACAACTGAATCTAAAAAAACCAACAAAGCAAATAACCAGAACAGGAACAGGATCACAGATATGGAGATCATTTCGATAGTTATCAACTGGTAGGGGCAAAGGGACAGGATGGGGGAAAAGGTACAGGGATTAAGAAGCATAATTGGTAGTACAAAATAGACAGGGGAATGTTAAGAATAGTATAGGAAGTAGAGAAGCCAAAGAACTTATATGCACAACACATGGACATGAACAACTGGGGGGGGATTGCTGGAGGGAAGGGGGGTACTGGGTGGAGGGGGACAATGGGGGAAAGTTGGGACAACTGTTTTAACATAATCAATAAAATACATTAAAAGTCCAGTTGAAAATGGGCAAAGGACCTGAATAGACACTTATCCAAAGGGGACATACAGGTGGCCAATAGATATATGAAAAGTTGCCTAACATCACTAATCATCCAAGAAATGCAGATTAAAACCACAATGAGATATCATTGCACACCTATCAGATTGGCTACCATCACTAAATCAACAAACAACAAGTGCTAGCAAGGATATGGATAAGGGGGAACCCTTTTGCACTGTTGGGGGGAATGCATCTTTATGTAGCTACTGTGGAAAGCAGTATGGAGATACCTCAAAGCATTAAAGTGGATTTGCCTTTTGAACCAGCAATCCCACTTCTGGGAATAGATCCAAAGGAACCCAAAACACTAATTCAGAAGAACATAAGCACCCCTATGTTCATTGCTGTGTTGTTTACAATCACCAAGATATGGAAGCAGCCCAGGTGTCCCTCAGTAGATGAATGGATACAACAACTATGGGACATTTACACAATGGAATACTACTCAGCTATAAAACAGAAGAAAATATGACCTTTTGCAACAGCATGGATGGACCTGGAGAATATTATGCGAAGTGAAATAAGCCAGTCAGAGAAAAACAAATACCATATGGTTCCACTCATATATGGAATCTAATGAATGAACTGAACTAACAAGGAAAATGGGGACAGACTCATAGATGGAGAGTAGATGACAGCTAGTGGTCGGGGGAGGATTGGGGGGCAGAGGGATTAAGCAGAAAGGAAAAAGGGCTCATGGACATGGACGGCAGTGTGGTGGTTGCTGGGAGGAGGGGGTAGAAGAGGGCTAAATGGTAATGGAGAAAATACAATAAAGATTAACAACAAAAAAAGAATATTAGCTATAAGAATACCAGGATTGCATTGGTCTTACTCATTGTTTAGTCTACGGTTCCCATTATAGTTTCTAGCACATAATAGGGACTCATTAAGTATTTGTTTAAAGAGTGGATAAAAGCCGACAGCAGTAGAGTTAGTTATACGAAGGTAGGAGGCAAGAGCGAAGACCTTAACGTGGTCCTGAGATTTCTGTGATCAAAGAGCTGGAGTGATCAAGTGATGGAGGCAGGGGTGTGTTGGGCCTTGCAAATCCTGTCCGGGAGTTTGGACTTTGTTCGAATTTTTTTAAAGAGATTGTAGTCTGCAGTTTGAATGTAATCCAGTGTATTTCCAAATGTGTTCTCTGGCAGCTCTGTAAAGAGTAGATTAGGGAGGAGAAGACTGGAGGAAGAAGACAGGTTAGGAGACTTATGTAGATGAGAACATTGCTTGTATTAGTCTGGTAAAATGGACATAGAGAAAGACGGGGTAGATGTGGGGTTTATTTTAGAGGTGGGACTGACTTGCTTGGATGAGGAATGAGTTGATGAGATCCAGATTTCTTGTTTGAGCAACTTGGTAGAAGGTGGTGTTACTGAAATGGGAAATTTGAATGAGGAAGAAGTTTGAAGAAACCATTAGGAATTCCATTTGGGTCACATTTAAGTTACTGATAAGAATTCCAAATGGAAATATCAAGTAGAGAGTTCGATTCCAAATCAGGAATTTAGGGGAGACATTTGGGTTGGGATAGAAATTTGGGACGCCGTAAGCATATAGATGGTATTAAGATCCATGACAACAAGAGATAATAGAGTGTGTGGCAAGGAATCAGAAAAAAGCCCAGGGCCTGAACTTGGGGAATTTCTAACATGTAGATGTTACATACAGGAGCGGCAGCTGGAAAGGACCTGGGCGAAGATTGGCCACACAGAGAGCACCTGGAATGTGTGGTGCCGTGGCGGTCAAGGGTTCACGGGGCAGTCTCGAAGGCTCAAGACATGGCTTCTAACACATACGGCATTTTCAGAAAAATGTAGCATGAAAATGAGAAAAAAATGGAGAGGATAGATGAATGTGCTTGAAGGGTTTAAAATATCCTTTTAAAAAGGAAGGATATTGCCCTGGTTGGTGTAGCTCAGTGGATTGAGCGCGGGCTGTGAACCAGAGGATCGCCGGTTTGATTCCCAGTCAGGGCACACGCCTGGGTTGCAGGCCAGGTCCCCAGTGAGGGCCACATGAGAGGCAACCACACATTGATGTTTCTGTCCCTTTCTTTTTCCCTCCCTTCCCCTCTCTCTAAAAATAAATAAAATAAACATTTAAAAATTAAAAAATTTTTTTTAAAAAAGGAAGGATATTAATATGTCTAACAAATAAATTATGACTATCATATTACACTAGCCTAGGAGTATAATTAGTCTTTATTTTGATATTAATGGACATTTTGATATTTGATAAAGTTAGGAAGTAATTTTTAAAAGTGTAGAGAAGCTGGATATATATGTTTTCTGTATATATACACACATATACACGTGGACATAATTTTTTTTGTTGCCCAAGAGTAATGGTGTTAGTGTCACCTAATGGCAAAGTGAGATATTGCAGCCATATTTATTTGCTGCAATGAACAAGTAACCGAGTTAGAAAGAGAAAAAGAACACTGCTAAGGGAATTTTAGACACAGATCAGCAGACTTCTATAGTTGTAAGGCTTTAGCCCTGGCCTGCTGCTCCTACCCCTCTATCCCATTACTCCTTTGGTCCCTGAGCAGGTTGTGAAATATATGGTCCTTTTATTATTGTCTTTCAGGTTTCAGTCAAATATTTATTTCCCTTTCAGAGAGTCCTTTCCTACCACCTCACTTACAGTTGTCCCTACACACTTGACTGCTAAGCTACTCTTTATCACATCATCCTCTCTTATTATCTCTGTGGCCTTCAGAGTGATTTGGAATTACCCTGTGTGCCTCATGGCTTGTTTTCTCACTAGGCCTCAGCTCTAGGAGGGGAGAGCTGGCAACTGTCTGCCTGTTCACTCATGTAGCCCGGTGCTGAGTGCAGTGTCTCTTATGTAGTATTCATGTCGAGGCACAGTTAATTGTGTCAATGTTTAGAGAATGTGGAGTTTCTGTGGCATAGAGATCTACTCAGAAAACAGAATTGCACTGTATTTGGTTACTGTAACATTGTTTGCTGTATGAATGCAGTGTGAAAGCTTTGACCTTTCTTCCCCTGTCAGGCTGATAAGTGGTAGTGTGTCTGGAAGAGAAAAGATACATGGCTTAGGGTGTTGAATTGTGTAGTAGTTAATTAACTTTAGTGACATAAAAATATTTTAAAGTACTATTACATCATCTTGAGGAGGCGTTTAGATTTAATTATAAAATAATTTCAGCAAGTGTATCTTGTGTGTGTGTGAATTTGTAGATACTTCTAGTATCATGCTTATTTATTTTTTCCTTATTAAATAGAACAAAAACAGTATTTCTAGGAGAAAAATAGAGTTAAACAGTAGAAGATCTGTCTAGTTGAGTTATGGGCGGTTTGTGTTCGTTTTTCAGGGAACAATATGGTTCTTTTAGTCTGGAAGCTCAGGGTGCAGAGAGTACATTTCCATTATGGGGCCCAGTCTAAGAGGGCAGCTTCCCTAGTTTTGAGATAATTATTTGGTGAGCAGAATTGTTGTTCACATGAATCATTTTTAATAGCAGAAGATAGATCAGTTCATGTTTTTTTTTAGTATGTGGTTTTTTTTTTAATCACTGTGATTTGACCAGGTGGATGTGGGAAGAGACGCTTGCCGAGCCGAAATGGAGGTCAGAGTTTCGTCACAGAAGGTTACTGGGTCATCGGATTCGGTGGCCACACTGAACAGTGAAGAATTTGTTTTGGTGCCTCAGCATGCAGATGACACCTCTGCCAAAGATGAGGGAAAACCTGAACTGAAGGTAGTTCTTTTCTGCAAATGATACTGTTTTAAACTTTGGTTTTTTAATTAAGGGAAAGGAGTTGTACAAAATCAGAAGGTTTTTCCTCAAGTATTGACTGTGAGAATAGAATCAATTTTGATTCATCTAGAGGCACATTATTTGGTTTGTATATTTTTGAAGTTTTTTTTGGCTTGTGGTTATTTATCTCTTAATTCAGAATTTAAAAAGGAGTAGATGGGGAGAAGACAAAGAATTGGGAATTAGACTTACTGATCAAATCTTAACGTAAGTTTAACTTATTTGGATATTTTTGTTTCTATTACTGGTAGGTTAAAGTTGATTATATAAAAAGTTACGTTTTACTTTCACTACAGAGACTTTTCTTTATGGTTTTAAATCAGCTGGTAACATTCTAGTATGTGACTTAACAGTTGGCATGTCTAAATATTTTTTAAGTGTGTGTCTTATATTTTTAGTTGAGTTTTTTATTTGGATATGCTCCTTTTTCTTTTTATTCTGTGTTGCTTTCCCTCCCTCAAAGAAAAGGAAGCAAACAAACCCGGGTCCACATGCGTGACAACTGCATCCCCACCTGGAAACAGGAATAGAGAAAGTAGTAAAAAGTGCTACGTGTTTCTTAGTGATTGTTATTCAGTTTAAACTGTGGCATCAAAGGTATATTAGTACATAAATCTAATAAAATTATATAAAAACCAGATTAGTAAATACCCATTTTATATTATGTTGAAAATATATAGTTTTATAGTGTTATTAAAGTAATCAATGTTTTTATTTAAATTTATTTAAATGTCTATTGAAATAAGCAACTATTTAAATTTAAATATCTATTTTGTTATTAATGGATTTAATTTAAGATTTTACTTAGGTTTTTTCTCTTATGTGTTTTTAAGAAAAACATGAGTTAACTTAAATGCAGGGAAATTAGCAATACTTTTGGCAGCTAGCAAACAAAACTTATAAAGAAATCACAAATATGTTTATACTATGGTAAGAAGTATGACCTTTTAAATGATATCCACAATAGACACTTTATCTTTAAACGTATCTATTTGTCTCTCTAAAACACATACAGTTAAGATTACTTGATTCTGGAATGTGTTCCAAAAAATAAAAATAAAAACCAAACAAACAAAAGGAAATCTGTGTAAACAAGCTCTTAGATCAGATATATTTGGAAACACCTGAAGTGTTTTCTGAGGAATCCTTTTCTGAAACTAATAATTCTCTAATTTAGCTGCATTTATAATTCAAGATTTTGTATTATATCTAGTGAAATTAGGTACAACTGTATAAATTTTTGATATTCTTTAACTATATTTAAATTTAAATATTTAGGTCATTTTAATTTCTTCTAGAAATGAAATATTTTCATTCAGGTCCAGAACCATAATATGATTAAAACAGTTGTTTTGCTTTGTCTTGTAGATAGTTTCTAATGGTGATGAACAGTTGGAAAAAGCCATGGAAGAGATTTTGAGGGATTCTGAGAAAGGGCAAAGCAGCCTTCCCTCTGATTGTCAGAGTTCCAGTGATATTGTAGACCATTCGTTTGGAGATGTTTCAGCCAGCCAAACAACTAAGCCATCTCTTCAGTTAGTTTTGGATCCATCAAATACAGGTACTGTATTGAACTCATATAAACTGGAAGAAAAAAAGAGTTAAAGTAATAATGAAAATTTTAAAATCCTGTTAGCTTTGTTTTTAAGATTAGGTCTACCAGCTTCTCGGTGCTGGCTGAGAGCTCCCACTCTGGTTCTTATGTTTTGGTTTGTTCTCTACCTGTGGAGTCCATCTCAGTGTTCTTTGAGAATGTCTGGGTCTTCATTTCACCCATAGTACTCGGCACATAGTAGGCCCTCAATAAATACTTACTGAACAAATGAACAAATTCTTGGGTCTTAGAAAAGTGTACTGGGCAGAGTCTTTTATATGATGGGCCTTTTTACTCAGTTTGACTACGGTTGTTTTAAATTATAATTTGTGAAAATTCTAAGTAAAATACCATTATCAGTTCCATCAGTGTATTAAATAATCAGTCCATCATAAATGAATATGATTTGTAGTAGGAATACCAGCTTATAAGTCAAAATAGTTTTGGGTGAAGAAAAGCCAAATGAAACGAAATCCAACTTCTGCTTCAGCTGTTTTAAACACTAGAAGTGTGGTTTTATCTGGGCTTTTGTAGTGTTTCTTGTAAACTGTTTGGTTTGATCTTTTTCATGTCACCTTTTTCCTTAACTGACTTCCTTTGTGGACAAAAGGTAGTTAGCAGAAATTGAAAAGTAAGGCTAGGTGACTAGCTCATGCCTGGTGGCGGAGAGAAAGACTCTGTTCTTTTACCCATTGAACAGAAGTTTTGAGTTGTGCTCTAATTGGACCAAACAAAACATTTTCTGGTGGTCAGGGGAATGGCAGGAAGTGACAGGTGTAGGCCTTGGTTACGGTCAGAACCCTCATAAAGTCACTCTGACAGAGGAGACGAGATTATCCTGATTGGCTTAGGGCACTCACAGTCCGCTTTGAATGTTGGTGTAGGGAAAGTATAGATAGATACAGACCAAAGTGCTACACAGTAGGGCCATAACAGCCCTAACTTACACTACATACAAAATTTCTTCCTAGTGGACCAAATATTTAAATGTGAAAAATAAATCTATAAGAGGAAAATATGGGAGAATATTTTTGTGGTTGTCAGAGTGGGGAAACCCAAATCAGAAAGGACATTGTGGTTATATTTTAATACATAAAAACTTCAGTCTTCTGAATGGGAAATGTACCTCAAGAAATACGGTTAAAAGACAGGCTAGGAGAAGACATTTGCACTGTGTTGCGGGTCCCCAAGAACACCCCTGGTTTTGTGGTGATTCACTATAAAGACTTACAGGTCTGAGCATATAGTCATGCTCATTGAGAAAAAATATATATACATATATGTGTAAAGTATATGTATATATGTAAATTAAAAATACAAGACTGGAAACAAACCTTACAATTATTTTTTTGTTCTTGATTGAAGGAACATGAAAGATTATATGATTTATTGTGCTTTACTTTTCCTTTTGAATTTCTTACATTCCTACCCCTCCCAAAAAACCCAAAGCGTACTGATATTAACATGTATATAATTGTTATTTTTTGGTTAATATAGTAATAGAAGGGAAGAAATACATTTTATATTCTAACGTAGCTCTAGTGGGTTGTTGGAATCAACCATCCTTTGCTTTGGCTTAGATATTACGATTCTTATTCATTAGTATATTTGATAGGCACTATGCATTGTGTACCTTTTTGTGTTATCTCAACACCCAGTTATGCTAAATACATTTTGAAAAACGATCTTTTGCTGAAGATCTCAGTGCATAAGAATTTCCTTTGTTTTACAAGTAAGTTTTTAGTATTCTTTTCTATTTTTATTTTCATCTTCAATAAAGAGGCTTGCTGTGCTATAGGCTGAATGTTTGTGTCCTCCCCAAAGTCCATGTGTTGAGACCCCGATCCCCATGGTGATGGGATTAGGAGATGGGATCTTTGGAAGGTGATTAGGTTATGAGGGCAGAGCCCTCTTGATTGGGATTAGCGCCCTTGTAAAAGAAAGCTAGCTTGTCTCTTTCTTTGAGATGCATCTCGATAGTTATTTTCTTTGAATACTACAGATGCTTTTCTACTGTCTTCTTGTCTCCATAGTTTCTGATGAGAAATCTGTAGTCTTTTGAATCACTCATTGTGTCTCTACTTTACCATGCTGTTTTTCTTTGTTTACTTTCAGTATTTTTTTCATTATTTTTGCTTTCAGCCTAATTTTGTGCAACATGGTTATGGGTAATGAGAAGAGTTGGAGACCAGCTGAATGTGGGTTATAGGTGGGAATGGGGAGAGTGGCCTTTGCTACATGCTGTGCTTAGAATTAAAATGAACAGTTTTTTTGTTGTTTAAAGAAACTCATTAATGGTGGGGTGGGGGGAGAATTGGGGGAAGCAATCATAGGATTATTCATCAAAATAATAGTTATTTTGAGGAAAAAAATTTCTGTTGGAGTACTTACATAGTTCATAGAAGCTAGCAAGCCAGGAAAGAGCAAGGTAAGCAGCTTGACTTTTATTGTTGCTGGTATGAGATGTAACACTTTAGCATTACTTTTGCTTAGGAAAGTAGGTTCTCATTGAATTTGGTGCTGTGTAGGATCTTTACAGCTAAGAGAAAGTTTTAATTGGTTTTATTTTATTTTATTTTTTAACTGGTTTTAGTTTTATTTAATCCTCATTTTAGCTTAATTCAAACTGTTAGTATAGGTTTTCTCCTTAATTGTTCTATATCATTTGAACTCCACGTTTTTATTTTTTTAAATTTTTCTTTTTCTCTGGAGAAGTTATAGCCAAATAAGATAGTACTTTGAGAGATGTGGACGTTTAAAATGGCTAATTCTAGAACTCTGAATTAAGGTAAAGGATAAACATTGAAAGGAATGAAAACAGAGAGACATAAATTTTGTTTGCAATTTTTCATTTGTTTTTGGACTATAGCCAGAATTATACTGTGAAATTTTGCATTGACTTTTGAGCATTTTTTTTCTTCAGAAATTTCTACACCCAGACCGTCTTCTCCAAGTGGATTACCCGAAGAAGATAGTGTTTTATTTAACAAACTGACCTACTTAGGATGCATGAAGGTCTCTTCCCCCCGTAATGAGGTGGAGGCTTTGCGGGCGATGGCAACTATGAAATCTTCCAGCCAATACCCCTTTCCTGTTACTCTGTATGTGCCAAATGTTCCCGAAGGTTCTGTGAGGTGCGTGCTGATCTCCTTTCCCCTCTTAGACATTGTGCAGATTTTAGATGGCGGTGATGATAGTATATCATAAATCAGGCCTGGGACTTACTGTTAATTCATTTTTACTCTGTAGACATGCAAATTAAACATGTTCAGGCTTAAATTGTGTTCCTTATTTGCAAGGGGCATTTGCAGAATTTTGCTTAGAATATTATAAATGGAAATACAACTGTAAATACCTGTAATTTCTGTTTCTCTAATCTGACAGAGCATAAAAACCTGCCTTCACCTGGTCACGTAACAGTGGTAAAAAAAAAAAAACGGAAGTGAGCCCTAGGTTTTAAGTTCTTTGTATCAAACTGGAAGGAAACAGACTGGCTTTTTCGTTACGCTTAATCAGGAATAATATTTAATGTCATTTGAACCTTGAATTTCTTTGCACGTAGATCAGGTGTTACTCTCCTACATCCGGCCCTCCAGTGACCTTCAGTCACATTTGTGATTCTATTCTTTCTTCTTCCTGGGTCTTTTTTTTCTTCAGAGCACTTTTTCTTGCCTCGACACTATATTTTATGCAGGGTGGGGCAAAAGAAGGGTTATAGTTGTGAGTATGTGAAACAGTTTATTCTTGTATCATTGTTTATTAATTATTGTATCACTTTCCATAGGAACAACTGTAAACCTACTTTTGCTTCACCCTGTATTTATTTGCTTGTTTGTTTCTTTTTCAGTACACATTAGCTCCATAGGAGCAGGTTATTTGCATTTTTCCCTGCTGTGACTTTAGTGTCTATAGTGGTATCTGGTCCAGGTTTTCAGTAGATATTTGCTGAATGAGCAAATAAATGTACCAGGTCTAGGAAATTAGGTTGAATGTGTTCTGAACCTATACTTTTCCCTGAAGGCTGATTTAATCTTTTAATCTTTTAAAACCCTTTTTGATTTCTCTCACTCTCTAAAGTTTAGAATGTGAGAAAATGTTAGCTAAGTTCTGAGTGCCAAAATAATAGCTATATAAATGAAAAGATTTTGGTAAAAAGTGCTTCAAAGTTTTTAGGAAATGGTTTTGTAGATATATTATTTGTGCAATAGCTATTAAAATGTCAAAATGCCATTTTTTATTTTAAAAATAATGTCTTTTATGTATTGATTTTAGAGACAGAGGAAAGGTGGGGGGAGGGGAGAGAGAGAGAGAGAGATACAGACAGACAGACGGAAACATTGATTTGTTGTTCCACTTACTTATCCCTTCATTGGTTGCTTCTCGTGTGTGTCCTGACTGGAGAACAAGCCTGCACAGTTGGCGTATCAGGACAGAGTTCTAAGCAACTGAGCGGCCTGGCCAGGGCTCGAAATGCCTCTTAATGTTATCTACTTACCTATGCTCATAATAGAAAACATAAAGATGAAGTAATTGTCAAAAGAATGTGAAGAATTTGTATGTGTGTATATATACATATATACATTTAGCAAGTATGTATACATATACATTATATATACACACATAGACATATACATGTGAAGATAATTTGTTTTCTTGCATTATTAGTACTCGTTTATTTTGTGATTTTAAGATGATTATGTTTATATGTTATTGGCATAGTAAAACTGTTTGCCTTTGTTCTTTTATAGTTAATATTTTATTTCATTTTTCATCACTGCTCTGCAGAATCATAGACCAGGCCAGCAATGTGGAGATAGCTTCTTTTCCAATCTACAAGGTGCTGTTCTGTGCACGCGGACATGATGGGACAACAGAGAGCAACTGCTTTGCATTTACAGAGAGTTCCCATGGTTCAGAAGAATTTCAGATACATGTTTTCACCTGTGAAATTAAAGAGGCAGTAAGTATAACATATTTGCAATTTGCTATAGAGAATTAGGGTAATATTTTTGAGCCCTAGTGTCACTGTTATATAAATCTGTATGTATGACCATACACCATATTTTATAAATTTGGAGTTTATTTCTGAAGAGAAAGTTCATGTTTGTGATGGCAAAGAACTGACTGTGGAAAGCCAAGTCTGATAACTGTGCACAAAAGTGGTATTGCAGGTAAGGCCCTGTCAGCCTAACAGGTAGAACAGGAAAAGCCACTTGACTAGCTTTCCTCCCAGCTAGCATGGTAGTCACTGCTCAGGCTTAGAAATGGGAAGTGTTTTTGCACCTCTTTGGTTATTTCTCCCAAGCCTGTTGGTCCACGTGACTTCCAAAAGTGCCTCTGACAATGCCCTTTCCTCTGCTAGGCACAATGGTTGTATGTTGATTGCGCTTGAATATTTTACTAAGTTGGTACAGTAGAGCTCTGTGGTTTCACTGGTGATTGTTTGTTATGTGCATTCCTGTGGAGGCTGGCTTTTGCTCTCGAGAACTAAGCCAGTTAAACATACAGATGCTCACATACAGCAGGGGTGTCAAGTCGAAGGCCTTCAAAGGGGCCAGGAAGAAGTTCCTTTTAGCCATCCTTAAGTGGTGGTTTCTTTTAAGACTGGAGAAGTAGTTCAGAATCAAGAGGCTGTTAAATATGTGGGAAAATTTCCTTCTTTTCTGCATCTGTTGAATTCTCCCCAAATCAGAAAGAAATTGCACTTTTTGAACCTCAGTACTTAGGCTTTAATCAATGGCTGTGGATGAGCAAGGTCTCCAATGTGTGTGCTTTGGGGAATACAAATTGTGAGCAGAAAATGCCGCAAGCAGCAGTTACTCTCTCTGCTCTTACCATGAAACATAAATACATCATTGTATTAACAGGAGTTCTGAGAGCGTGTTTCAGGCCCCAGCATGAGAACTCTTAGAAATGCAGGTTTCTGTGCGTTCGACACTGAGCACAGGGGCTATGCCAGTTTTTATCCCCTGAACACCAACATGAACATGCGCAGACACACGTCGTTCAGGTTATCGTCACAGGAGGTCTCTGCCAGAGCCCACACCTGTGTGAGAAGTAGTTCCGAATCTCCTTCATCCCAACATTTATGTGCACACTCTGCCTACGTGACCAACCGGGTGATAGGAGAGCGAATGAGTACCAGTGTGCCTGTCACATAGGGGGCGGCGAGGATGAATAGTAGGGAAGAATTTGTGTGTTTGTGAATGAGGGGGTCTGTTTCTTGTCCCTGCAAGCCCACTACGGAAGTGGGGAAGCAGATGCGCTGGCATTTCACGTTGGCAGCCAGCATGTAGCATGCCTGCGTGGTTTCCGGGAAGTTGGCACTCAACAGCAAGGACGTGAACTTAGAAGAGGTGGACACCCGCTGCTCGGGGAGGCAGAAGCGCTGCGGCAAGAGCAAGTGCACGGGACCCGGCTGCAAGCATTCTCCGTAACTGTGATGATGGTACGACCCTCTCTGGGGATTGCAGTGTCCACTTGTTTGGGGGGCGGGGGGCGGATCGTCATCATTTGTGAGAGCTGTACCAGTCGGGAAGCAGTGGGCAAACTGGGGAATTCTTGGCCTTACCACTTTGGATGTGGTATTAAGTAGTATTAACCATATTTCTAGAGAGGATACTCGGTACTCTGCAGGTTGTGAAAAAGTGATGTCCATTGTATATATATATATTTTTGATGTTCAAGTATTTCTATTAGTATTATTTTTTAGAGTTCATTTTTCAAAGTGTTACATTATGGGTGGTAAAATTCATTGTTTTAAGGGGAAATATGTGATAATTGTCCTTAAACTTTATTACAACAAATCATTTCTAAATGAAAATAGCCTAGTATGAATATAGAGCTTATGCCAGGCACTGTGCTCAACATTTACTCAATACGCATCACATCTCTGTGACATAGATAGTATGTATTTAAACTAGCGATCTCATGCTCCCCTTTACCTGGAGCCGGCCTGGTTTATGCCTGTTGTTCAGGTGTACCGTTAATGGCACTCCATTTTATTCCCCGAAGTGCTCTGGTTTGACTGAGAGGTTGTGCGGTTACCCTTCGTTTATCTCAAGGCTAAGAGAATAGACGATGGAGCGGGGTTTCCAGTGGAAGTCTCTGACTCTGAAGCCCCGTGTAATTTTCAGTAACAGGTGGACGTGGGCTTCTGTCATTCAGTTATGCTTTATAAAGGGCCCGATTGGTCATAGAGCTTGCATCCCACCTGCCTTTGGGTTTCACCCATACCTTTTACAGAAGATGTCCTGCATCTTCCTCTCCCCTCAAAACATAACTACCCTTTAGTTACTCTGAAGTCTCTCCCTTGCGTCTACCAGGTGTCTGGTTAGTTGGTTCCCAGAAGTTTCTTGTGCTGTGGTGAAGGATAACGTTAGTCTTTAGCATTTGGGCCCCTCTCGATGGCCACAAAGCACTGGCAAAGGCAGCTCAGGAGCAGGTGACAGACATCTGATTGCTTAAATCTGTACTGTGTAGTGCAGTGCTGCTGTTTATTAATTTGTTTTCCCTTGCTTTCAGGGTCCCTGGATGAGACATGAAGAAATCCGTTAAAGACAAGAAGACGTCTTCTCAAGTAGGATAAGCAGCATGGCTCCTAGTGCCAGCTGTCACTCCCATGCCCTTATTTCACCCTAGAGCCCCGTCAGCAGCAGGCACCGGGGACCGGCGGTGGCCGAGGGGACCCTGGTGAAGGGGATGGCTGTGCTGGACCTGTGGCACAAGGACTGGGGGCTCCAGCCCCACCGAATGGTAGCGCGTTTCTGACTCGCTGCCCTGGGTGTTCTGCAGGACTCGCGGGAGTGAGTCTCAGTCATCCGAGGCGGCGGAGAGTCGGGAGCCCAGCCAGAAGGGTCCTGGCGCCCGTGAGCCTCGCGCAGGGTGTGATGACGGGCTGCGGGTCTGTTGAAAAAAGCAAAGTGTCAGGAAACGTAGAGAGAAAAGCCAAGGAGGCGCCTATTCTTGTTGCTGTCTGGTTTTAGAGATACTTTGAAAGGCTTAGTTGATGCTTTAAGAATTTATTTCCATTAGTCAGGGTAATCATTTTCTTCAACACAGATTTTGATGTTTGTGTTGTTTGTATGTTTTAACATACTTATCATTCATTCCTAACAATTCTCAGTGTTATGTTTTAGAAGCATGGTTGTGCTCATCTCGTATTAGGCATTCAGAGACATTTCATGGTAAATATCAACATCTTCCCAAGTATCGTTGGGAAGATCTTAATTCTGAATGCGCTGGTTTTTCTTAGTATTGCTGATATGCCACTATGTATTAAAAGAAGACCTTATTCCTCCCACAGAAAAAAATATTTATTGAGATGTTATTTTAGTGAAATACATTACTTTGGAAATTAATTAAATTTTGCTGTTGGTATTTTTCCTTAAATAGATTTAAAAAAATTTTTTAAAGTTTTCTTTTTTGGTATGATATGACTCTTATTTTAGCCCCTTTAAGTGAGTTACATATTTGAACAAGATGTTTTTAAAATTTTAACACATATCTTTCTGGGTATATTTTATAGAATGATTTTTCTACCTTTATTTCTTGGAGTTGGTATTTTCTTGACATATGGTGTTTTTATTTATTTCTTTAATTATTATGTTTCTCAACTATAATTTACATTTAATATTATATTAGTTTCAGATGTACTGCATAGTGGTTGCACATTTATATAATTTAACCAAGTGATTCCCCTCAATAAACCTAGTACCCACCTGACACCGACATATGGTGCTTTGAAAAGAGTAGATTCTCTTTCATCAATATTAGTGAAAAGGGTTTATTTTGGAAAAATTGCCTGTGCTATTTATCTTAAGTAAATACCTTTTTGTTTAGTGGAGCTTTTTTAAAAAACTTAACATGTAATACATATTTAAGAATTTGGAAAACACTGTAATAAAAAAGAAAATAAAAGTTATTCAAAATTCCACCAGAGTTAGGGTTTTGGTGTATCTCCTTCCCACACAGCTGCACGTGCCGTCCTCTCCACGTCTTCAGAAACAGCGCAGCAGCAGCAGCAGCCGCCCCCATGCAGTTTTGTGTGTAGCTACTGCTTTCCCTAGGTGCTGCCTTCTGGGGAAAGATTGTGCTGTATTGTTGGTCAATAAACCTGTGCCTTCTGCCAAGAAAAAGCCTATTCTAGTACATTATTTGTGTGTGTGTGTGTGTGTGTGTGTGTGTGTGTGTGTGTGTAATAGTGTGGCATATAGAGAAATGTTTGCCATGGTATGTGTGTTTAACTTTTTTCCCATGATACTGGGTACCCAACTACTTCTGATAATTATAGATATTGTTCATTCTTGTTTCTGAAGCTCCTCTGCTTTACCATTCTGTGGACACCACTCCAGCTTATCTGTCCACTCTAGAATTCACAAGTGATTTTAAACTTTTTGTTACAAAGCAACTTGTAAGACACACTCAAGCCTACATGCAGTTTGACTGCTGGTACCAAGGTTCATGTCCTGTTGTGTCCTTCCTTCAAAACAAGAGAAAAGTGTCGTCTGTTTCCCTAGTCCCCCTTGTACTCTACCACCCTGGCTTGGCCCCGGGTACTCAACCTTTTAAAAAAGAAATTCCTGAGCCTTGCCCTCTACTTCCGAATTTGCCAAGTCCTTCCACTTTTTCTGGTGTGGTATGATGGGCTAGGCTTGCTCACAGCTTTGACACCACACAAGTGAAGTAGGAGATATGGGAGAGGAGAAAAAAGAAATGTGGTTGGGGTTTGACTCTACAAATGCATTAAAATTGTGTACAGTTATTCCACTTCGCATGTGATGTTTCCTTAAAAATGTGCTGAAGTTGAATGTGTAAAAAGGAACCAATAGATGTCACATTCTGTTTGGGGTTAGGAGGTGGGCAGTACTCAAAGAACTAAAAGTAAGGTCCCCATTGACACTTGACTTTGTAGGCATAATCTTCAGTGACTGATTCCTAGCATGTTCTTTGGTTCTGCTTTGCTCTGTAACACTTAAATTATTGCACTAAGTCAAGTAAGTATCCAGTTGAGAACAAACATTTCTGCTTTTGGCTTACCTAATGAGTCCTCACCTACTTCAGGCTCATTCAGCTTACACGTGCTGGAATGTAAGCTCTGTGTTCACTGATGTATGGTAGTTAGTACACAGTACCTATGATAGTACCAAATACACAGAACATGTTCAAAATATGTTGAATATGAGTAGATGTATCATTGTTTTCATTATATAAGATTCGAGGCCTGCAGTTTTTATTAATGCCAACTGTGTAAGTCAGTTAATTTAAGAGGTTATTAATTTGGCATTGGCAGGGCAGCTTATGTGTAAGTTTGGCTATTGGAGGTTAAAGATCACCTTTTTTTTTTTTTTGATGTGATAGACTGAATGTATGAGAAAAGGTATACTGTATAAATCCAACAAAAATGAGGAAAGATCCCATACTTGAAGAAATTCTGTTGATGAAAGTGCTCTTGTTCAAGAGAATTACAAAATATTAGTCCTAGACTAATATAATTCAGTGGATTTTGAATCCACTCTATCTTAAGTGAAGGATTAACATTCCGAGAAGCCTCTTTACTTGTTCCTCCCAATGTGAGGTTTTGCAAATACGATCTTTGTAAAATCCTTTTTATTTCATCGTCTTTTCTTTGTTCAACTCATGAGTGGGTTAAGAGGTTTGGAAGGTCTTTTGTGCTTCAGGCTTACACAAATGTGAGATGGTGTGATGCTTCTTTTGGAACGGAGAGAAAGAATAACTTCTGGAAGACTGGGATTTAGAGCACTTCTCCACTTTAGGGGAAGCGTATAAGATTTACGTATCTATATGAAGCAATCAGCAGGGTGGCTTAATACTAATAAAATAGATAAGGCCACTTCAGTACAACAGTGTTGTATAACAACAGTAGAAGCTCCTTAAACCATGGTAGCATGTTTGCTTATTGCTAAAACCAGTGTTTATTTCATTTAATGCCTCAAGTGTCTGGTGACGCTGAGGGAAGTGAGGAGAGAAACTGACGGCTTGGGCTAAGACCTTGTTTGCGTGTGTTGATTTAGGTGGTGGGAGGTGTAGATGGTAGCATTGTCCTAGTAATTTTTAGATTCATTCATTGCAATATAGTATATTTTAAGGTGTAGAAACATCTATGAATAGAGTTCTTATGTGAACTTAAAATATCTTTTTAAAGAAGTAACTATATGTTTCATTATATGTACACTAAATATTACAAGCTATATATTATAAGCTATATTATAAACTATACACGAGTATGCTTAGACTTTATCTACTGCTAAAGAAAAATACGATTATGGAAATTTGTGGATTCAAGAATCAGGTGAGAAGGGTATGAAAATGTAGTTGAAGTCTTTGCCTAATGCTTCTCCTGTTTTTATTCCTTTAGGTAAGCAGAATCTTGTACAGTTTCTCCACAGCATTCAAACGCGCCTCCAGACACGTGTCGGATGTTAAAGACTCAGTTATGCCGACCCCCGACAGTGACGTGTTTACCTTCAGTGTCTCCTTGGAGGTAAAAGAGGACGATGGGAAAGGAAACTTTAGGTGAGGCTATTGCAAAAGAATAAAAATTGGTATTGTGCATGAAATATGATATTGGCTAATATAAAGATTCTAGAAACTATACAGTGTTTGTATAAAGCTTTAACAGGCTAAAGAAATACTGGACTGGTGAATGAATATACTTCACTTTTCTCATGTGTTTCAGGTATTTCGTGTAAATGATTTTCTTAATATTTAAAAATACTGATCTTTATTACATAGAACTTAGTAAAATAATACAGGTAGCATGGAAAACAGCTATAGTCTTGTCAGTTAAGACAATCAGTTTTAGTAATTTATTTATTCCCTTTGTTTATTTCCATGGGATATTTTTATACAATTGTATATATACAAATTTTTCTTTTAACTTTATAAGAATTTTTCCATTAAAATGTTCTTAATCAAAGTCATTTTTAATGGTTACCAATAGTGTATTGTGTGGTTGGGCCACCACTTACTTAACCCATTTAATCTATTGTATATTTGGAATGTTTTCTCCAATTCAAAAATGGGCAGATGGTAGGACACAGTTGTGTTCTCATGGTCACCCATGTGCCTTGACTGTGCTTTCAGTTTTACCAGTAATTGTTAGGCAGGTGTTTTATTTGTTTCTTTACAGGTATAGAAATTGAGTATTAGGTCAAATAACTTGCTCAAGGTATTTTTCTTTTTCAGACAAGACAACCTATATTTCAGACATTTATTGTGTTAATGATAATTCTTCAGAAGTCAGTCTGGCCTAGGCTACACTGCTGCAGTCTGTACCCCTTTGTCCATTTCTTTGCTATGTCCATTTCTTTGCGACCCTACATGTCGCAGTCACCTCACATTCCAGAGGTTTAGAAGTACGCTGTTCTGCGTTCACTATGTTAAAAGAGCTCATAACTGCACTACTAGCTAAACCGGAGATGTGACTATCTTTAAAAATAATTAAATCATATTCCTAAATCTGTTATGTTGAGAAACTAAACTTTGAAACGATGTTACTTAAAAATCTTGTTTTTAACCCCAGTCAGGTTTTGTTGACTATAAAATTTGTAGTTTGTTACTGAGGGGCAGGATGGGAGTTGAATACATTTTAAGAAAGAGTAAAAGTGCTGTTGCTTAAATATCAGCAGTTTGCTGTCTCATGCTGACGTTGGAATAGATTATCTTATTTTATTGTATTACTTACTGTATTGTTAAGTCCTGTTCTTTTTGCATATTTCAGCCCTGTGCCTAAGGATAGAGATAAATTTTATTTCAAATTGAAACAAGGAATAGAGAAGAAGGTTGTGATTACAGTGCAGCAACTTTCTAACAAAGAATTAGCTATTGAAAGGTAAGCAGCTTGCTTTGAATGCCACCAAAAGCCTGTGTTGACACTGTTCTGTGTGCCAAGAAACATACTGCCGAATCTCAGCCGTGTGCCTCACTCACTGTGGCTCTTCACTACACTTCCGTTTCTCCACTTAAGACTGAGAATAAGGGTGAGAGTCATAATGCTTTGGCCACTGGTAAATAAGGCAGATGTCACTGGTTCATTGCAGATCTTACCGATGGGGCAATAAACATGAAATGGCTTTATTTTTTCAGTAATAACTTCTTCAACTCTGGTCAGATCCCTTTTTCCTACAGTTCCTTATTTACATGGAAGACATTTTTTATTATTAAACAGTCCATGCAGTTACTGGGATTTTGGAAGCTTTAAAAGATGGATACATATCTTTCAAATATATAAATGTACACACACACATACATATATGTGTGGGCATATTTATATACTTATGTATATATTTGTATAAAACAAAAACTTTGTAGGACAAAACATACTGTAAATAAAGTCAATAACAAATGATAAGTACAGAAAAAATATTCATAATATAGATGACAGATAAAAGGTTAATATCTATAGTATATATAAATTTCATAACAATTGACAGGGAAAAAGGGGAAAAACAAGTGAGAGTATGAATAGGAAAGCTCTTCACGGGGCCAACAAACATACATCTGTAAAGATGTCCCAATTGAGGTAACAGTAGGATGTTTGACTGGCAAATGTAACAGGTAGAGCTGGTGGGGATATGGAGGAAAAGGGTAATAAGGTATGTGTACGTGCTCTTTGAAAGCAATCTGGCAATGTCTGTGAAGATTAAAAAACACCTAGAATGGGACACATCGGTGTCATTCTTGAGACTCTGTCTCATTGTAAATAAAAGTATACCATCTAGGGACATTTAAAAAGATATTTCTTAAAGCACTTTTTATAGTGGCAAAAAACTAGAAATAAAAACAAATACCTATTCGCTTGGCTTGGAGGAGTGGGAGAAATGGATGATCACAGAGAAGAAGAGCCTCTCTATGAAGGCTGTTGCATACTGTGACCACTCTCTCTCCCCCTGCAACCTCCCTTCCCTAGACTGGGATGAAGGTCAGGGCCAGTCGCGGTTCTGGCTGATGGCATCATGGGAGCCTCTGTCCCAGTTGAATGTAAGAAAAGGTGTCTGCAGCTTTCTTTACGGTGTCAGGTGTTTAGCTCCACTTTCTTCCTGTCTTTGGACCCTACCTCTGGCGTCCAGAAAAAGTTCTCTTCAGCGTCTTGGTAGAGTGATGCGCCTATGTGATTTGTTTGTGAAAACAAACACACAAACCCTACTTCATCAGTTTTAAGAGGCACATTTTCATATTTAACATCCCTGAAATTAAGGAGTGTTTAACAGTTGGTGGCATCTTATAACTACAGTTGTCATATTTTTTTGCCCCCTTTCTTGGTAGTATAAAAAATAGCTGTGAGCCTTAAAATTGATGCCTTCTTAAAATTGAAGAAAAATAGCTGAACGTAAAGGAATGATTGATTTTGAGTATTTTAGTCCCAAAAGAATAATGAGATTTAAGATTTTTTTTTGTTAGCAGTAAATACAGCAATGTTTCATTCTTTTTATTCGGAATTACTTTTGAACTCATAGAAGACTCAGAGAACACTTGTGTACTCTCTACTCAGAACCACCTATTGGTCATATTTAGCCCATTTGCTTTGCACCCACTATCTCAATCTCTCAACTTCTGTGTCTCTGTCTCTGTTTTTCTCTCCCTACTTATACACATACGCACAGCACACACACGTGTTTCTTTTCTGAGCAATTTAAGGTTAAGTTACGTACTTCATGGTGTTTTATTCTTATGCTCTTCCATGGTGTTTTATTCTTATATCTCTTCTGTAGCCACATTATGTGTATCAGTGCAGCAAATTTAGTATTTATGCAATACTTTATTTGACTTGCCATTTGTCTCCAGTTTGTTAGCTAATCCGTAACATCCTTTCATGTTCCAGCTCAGGGTTCCCATGCATGGCATTTAGTTACCATATGTCTTTAGCTTTCTTTAATCTGGAAACATTTCTGCAGCCTTTCTCTGTCTCTTACGAAATGAACATTTTTGAAAAACTGCATCCCTTTCCCTTCTTTTAACATCCCTCATTTTGGATTGGTTATTCCAGCATTTCCTCGTGGTTAGATTCAGGCCGTTAACTCTGTAAGCGAGGTTTCCTTCCCGGCGCTGCACACCTGGAGGCATTTGGTACCCCTCCGCCCCTCGCTGGAGGTGCTGGTTTGATCACCTGGTCAGGATGTCTGAATTCTTCACTGTAACTCCTTCTTCCCTCCCTTGGAACTAGTAAGCTATCTGCGGGGTTATCCTTGAAAATAGCCTGCTTCTATTCGGAATTCCTTCCTTTATTTATTCATTAATGATTCTTGCCCGATCCAATCTTTACTATGATGAATGCAAAATGAGAATTTTCTGTCTCTGCACTTTTTCTAGGTTTATTACCAGTTAGCCCTTGTCATTTTCGTGTAAACCAGACCTCTTCCTTGTCTTGCATTTATTTATCTACTTATTATTGGTATAGACTCCTGAATTCCACCCTCCACCCCGGCAATAGTTTATAATTCACTGTAGTGCTTAATTATTTTGATGTTAAAGTGGTTCCAGAATTCGTCAGCGGGAGCCCCGCACATGCTGTGTCCTTTGACACGCCCCAGCACGTCCTTCCTGGCAGAACAAAGGGCGGCTCTCCACTTACCCCCATCTGTAGTGACACACGCAAAGAGGTAGTAGGTGCTGGGGTGAGTAACTTAACTTTTAGTGGTTACTTAAGAACCTTGGAGTTTTAGGACTAAGAAGTCTGTTATGCCCCTGCTCCAGAGGCCTATACTGGGCTTGCTCGGAAGGTGCGATCCTTTGTTTTTCGCATGAGAAGCCCCCAGTTGGATGAGTAAAGGCGAAATCGTTGAATGCCTAATCATAATGTTTTCTTGGTTAACTTAAACATTTACACGTACACTTTACACCTGCATTATAAATATATTACATAAAATGAAAACTTGGAAATGTTGCCTTTTTCCCACTCATATACGTAAGACTTCATTCAGAATCTTTTTAATAATCTTCAGCATCAGTGTCTTCATTATCATTTCAGCTACTTTTTGAATAATTTTAAGGCATTTTCAGAGCACGTTATCTAAACTTCTGCCTAAGTTGAGATAAAGTACTTTTTGAGTCAGTATATATTGCTATCAATAGAAATTTTACATAAATCGCAAGTACACATTTGCATAGCATTGGGGTAGTTAAAAATCATTCTGTGTGTAGCCACTTACTATGAGGGGGAACCCCCCAAACTGGGATTTATATATTAAAAAACTGCATATTTATTCTTACATATTTAAACCTCAGTCACCTTCAAATTACTTTTCATTTGATGCAATACATCTATCGAGACTTTTTTCCATCACTCAGAACAAGTTTTTGAATTTGTCGATTTTGATGCCTTTTAGTGCTTCTGCTGTTTTTTGTTTCACCTCTTTCACATTGACAAAACATTTCCCTTTGAGCACATTTTTTCATCTGGGGAAACAAAAAAAGGCACTTGGGCCGAGATGGGGTGAATAGGGAGGGTGGGGCATGGGGGTTACACCTTTTTTGGTCAAAAGTTGTTGAATACTCAGTGCAGTGTGAGCAGGTGCACTTGTAAATCACTCATCATGAAATGGGCAAGCGTGTTGAAAGAGTCTTCAAAAAAAAATTCTCTAAAGCCGAACACAGCCTCTCACAATGACGCCTGCTGGTACACTGACACAGATGGGTTCCTAGAACACTCACCAAGCAGGGGAAGCCTGTACTATAAGGGGCCCACCTTCCAGAAGATAATTATGTTGTTTTTTTTTTTGAGGGGGGTCCTTCCTAATATATTGCTTTTATTTTAATATAATTAATCTTGATGATAGTAACAACTGTGGGTTTCTATATTCTGCAATAATTACTAAATCCATGTTATGTTTCTTTGCTTTTTCACACATCACTCAGTTGACCTCTGTAAACATCTACTCTAACATTGACTGAGATTGCTTTAGGCTATTGGTCTTCCTTAAATAATACTTTGTTCAACCTAGTGGGCAGAATTTCCTGTGATGTGTGATATTTTGTAAATACTTGGATTTATTTTTTTCTTTGGAGAAAAAACCTTTTCCAGAAAAATACTGGCAAAATCCAGTATTTTATTGGGTTATTATGTGGTATTCAATATGTTTAAATCACAAAATGTTAAATGGTGGAATTTAAAGTAATCCAGTAGGTGGCAATCTTGTTAAGAGAATTCTTAATACCTCTGAATAGGAACCATTGCTGCTGGCAGTTAATTTGTAGCATAAAGGCATTGGTGTGAAAGAAAATGCTTCATATTTGATAATTTGTGTTTTATCCTTTAAAAGAGAAAATGATTTATCATTTTTAAAAACAGCTTTTTATTATGTAAAGTTGCCAACCTGAAAAAAAGTAGCAAGAATAATATATTGAACCCAGTGCACCCATCACCTACTCCAAATGTGAATTTTCAATATTTTGTTTTTTTTTAAATGTTACTTTTCATTATGAAAGAAGCCATTTGTTTGTGCATTCAAGAGTCCAGGTGTTCCTCATGTGTACAAATTTGATAAATTATACTGCGATGATCTGTCTTGACCCCTTTGAAGGCAAATGCGAAGTCATTTTTCCCCACAGTCTTCAACCTCCAGCACAGGGCTAGGGGTACACAGCTTTGTACGTAGCTGCCCAGTACCCAGTCCAGCACTTAGCACTTTTTCTGTGCCGAGGGAGCACTGTTCTAGGTATTATGCAGTTGAGGAAACTGAGGCACAGAGAGGTTAAATAACTTGCCAAGATCATACAGTTAAATACTGAGCACAATCTGATACCAGAATATAGCTTCTTACTCTCTACTGCCTCTTATAAAACACTTGTTGAATAAATGAATAAAAAGTTTATAAAGCCATGGCTGGTGTGGCT